TTGGTGGTTTAGTAAAAGTGTAGCAGTCTAAGTGTGAAGCCAATCCAACAAGTAATCTCTCAGTGGGCATGGCATGGCATGCCCATCGGGAATGGGTTAATGATCAGAATGCATAAAAGAACCAATTTTATTGTCGTAATTATTTTTTAAAGATTCAGTATTTAAATTTCAACAAACTTATAATTTGTTTTCATGAACAACATTTCAAAAGAGGGGGATAATAACTTCTCAAAGAAGAACTTTTTTCCAGTATAAATTCAGTGTGCTTTTGTTTTAAATACAGGCCATAATAATTGTGAAGTTTCTTTTTTAAATTAAGGACTTTAGGATATAAAGATGATAATATATCATAAGTAAACCTCTGTTTTTTAATAGCATCTAGATTTTTTTGTAAGTGCTGTCTTGTAAAAGGAACTGCTTCTACTTCACAGAAACAAGTACAGTTCATTACAAATAATATTCTCTATTTTGATTTTTAATGGAATGTAGAAATTTTTGTTGTTCTGTTAAAGGAAGTTTTAGTGTTCAGTTTCACAGAAATATATAAAGCAGGTGCAATTATGTTTAATTTTATATTTTTCCCTGTAAATTCCATGTTGCTTTGGGCAGAAGCAAATTTTGATTTAAATCAATGATAAAAAAAAAAATCATTTTATATAAATTGTGATTTATATCATGATGATTTAAATTGGCCAACCTTGCAAGCAAGACAGAAATACACATTTGATATTAAAGAATATGTCTACAACTTTTTCTTTGTGTAGAGCTCTTCACATCCTCTGGTTAGATTAGGTAGTTCTTTATTTTTATAGTTATTAATTTTTATTAATTTTCAATTTAGTTTGATTTGAGTAGTTACTATGGATATTCTTGGTGTGAAATAGTGTCAGTTTCATTTTGATTCTAAATTATCCTGTGTGCAAGAAATGGCCAGGGTTACCATCCACTGGCGGCGAGGGATTTGAACGCAGGTCAGCAAGCCTGCTAGATGAGATCGCTACTGCTACACCACATAGCACATGTATAATGAATGACCATTTCTGGTTAGGAAAACATGGCAATAGAAAGGTTTTTGTTTTTTACGTCCCCCAGCTAGGGTAATATGGCATTTGGGAGGGTGTCTAGGGGTTGAGCCACTGATAGGGAAACATAACCATTAGCTAGGGAAACGTGAGGGGTTTGGGGGTGAAGCCCCTGATAGGGAAACATTGCGATCAGGAGGGAGTCTGGCTGCAGAGTCACTGATAATGAAGCATGATCGTCAGCTAGGGATTGGGAGGGAGTTCAGGAGCAGAGCCCCTATTAGGGAAACATGGTGATCAGGAGGGGATCCAGGTGCATAGACCCCGGGTTAGGAAGGTTTTCGGCCAGGGAAACATGGTGATTGCGAGGGGGTCTAGGTCCAGAGCCCTGATAGGAAACATAGCGATTGGAAGAGTGTCTGGGTGTGTAGCCCCCCAACACCCCCTGACAAACATTGCCTTCACCTCAATATGCATGGTATGAATATAAAACAAGTTGAGTGCAATTGAACAATGCAGATAAATGTTCATTTAAAGGATTTGATTTGTCAGGTTTTATTGATAATTATTGTGTTCATGTGTGCATCCGTATAATAAAAAATTGTATATATACCACAAATACATATTATTTTGATAAATGTATATAAAGAATTTGTTCTTCTATTCAACGCCTGGCAGACTGGATAAGAATACCCTCAGAATTTTTTTTTTTTTCTGACCGATACAATTTTCATAGTCTCTATGTTTAGTCTTGGATTTATCTGAGAAATGTTGTGGACCCTGCTCCAGGTTAGGTATGTGGTTAGGATGTACTATCTGATGATTGATGGTTCTAGGGATTGTATAGGGATTATATAGTAAACTAAGCACCACAGGATTTCAGGCTGAGTAAAAAGTTTGGGGTACAGGGGGCAGAACCTCCTGGCTATGTAATTATTATGGTTGGAAAGTTTTGCGCAAATACCACAGGGGTCCAGAGTACAGAACCCCATGACTTGGAAGTATACGGTTTTAACATATTTTATAATAACTAGATTTTACTGTAGGATGGGTAGGTGCTTGTAGACTTTTTTAAAAATTGGCACTTTGGCCTTTCAATGATGATAGACAAGTCTGTAGAGTGTCATTAGGCAATTCAAAATTGGTGTATTTTTTTTTTACACATTCTCTTAGTCTTTTTTACCCTGCATTTCCCTGATATACTTCAAGCTCTCCCCTACTACTGGGACAAACATACCACAATGAAGACTGTATTCAAAATTGCTGTGGATTTTTCATACTTATTTGATATTTCTCTGTCAGTGTGTTTATCTTCAGAATGAATGAAGCCATCCACTGCAGTGTACCCAGCTCCTACCAGATCATTGTAATCCTCTACTGTTACAAAATGTATTTTGTGGAAGTGCTAACTGTTAACATGGAAGATCAAATTTTAGAACTCAGCATATACTAGAATATGTTAACTATTCCTGCAGTGGCCACATTCCCCTATTACTCCAGCCAACATAGAGGCACACTTAGGAAGCCAAAGGTCTTTTTAAGGGGAAGTGAAGTGTGGCTGAATTAACTGTAAAGTAGGCAAAGAGAGCAAGAGTGGGAAGGTAAAAACTCTAAGACAATGTTCAGTCACAAAGATTTGCATCAACATTGTGTGTACAGAGTTACAGAGATTACCACAAAGATGACCATATAAAGCAAAAAACTTCTTAGTTCAGAAGATCGTCTCCTGGACTCCCACTTGATCACTGTATTCCCCCACCCAATTACTGTATGCATTAGTATGAGGCTCTACCCCCATATCCCCACTCAATCAGCTGATGTCCCAAGCCAGGGGATATGTCTGTGGATTCCCAGCTGAGTGCTGTAT